GATCTATCGTCTCTCCGATCTATTGTCTCTCTGATCTATCGTCTCTCTGATCTATCGTCTCTCTGATCTATCGTCTCTCTGATCTATCGTCTCTCCGATCTATCGTCTCTCTGATCTATCGTCTCTCTGATCTATCGTCTCTCTGATCTATCGTCTCTCCGATCTATCGTCTCTCTGATCTATCGTCTCTCCGATCTATCGTCTCTCCGATCTATCGTCTCTCCGATCTATCGTCTCTCTGATCTATCGTCTCTCCGATCTATCGTCTCTCCGATCTATCGTCTCTCCGATCTATCGTCTCTCCGAGTTTGTAAAACAAAGTTTTTCTACAGTCACAATACGCCTGCTAGGTTATCAGTCTGAAACATTTACATCTCAATGTCCTCTTTTGGGAAATAAGTGATCAAAAAAATTTAATTGCAGCACAAGTTCCCCCTCCCATCCCAAAGATTTTTCTCGTTGTAAATTACGCTGATTAGTGGAGAACACAGATTGTCAGTTCAAGATTAAACAGGAAAGATAACTTTCCTACTAGACCCAATAGTTATTTTTTATGAGCTACTACCCTTTAATTAAGAAAGTCAAGAGGTAATTATTATTAGACGTGGCGATGATTTCATTAGCAAATACTTCCATCTTAATAAAAAAAACTGCAAACAAAAAAAAATGATCTGAGTATAAATATAAGTTCCACCATATCAAGGGCCAGCAGTGACAGCATAGTTCTTTGGTAAACAGATATGAAACCACGAATGGCAGACTTCTATTATAAGGCTCTTACCTCCACAGGTAACGATGCTGTCTGGAGGTCCTCCATGGGTAATGATGCTTTGCGAAGTTCCTCCATTGATAACGATGCTGTCCGCAGGTCCTCCATTGGTAACGCTGATGTCTGGGGGTGTTTCCGTCTGCTCATCAAAGTTGTCTGGAATGAAGGCGGGGTTTGTGTTTCCATGTTTGGTCAAATGAGTGCCGGGCTCGGCCTGGTGCAGGGGGATCGTGTGAAAGCGTTCAGTGTCCTTGACTTTCGTGACTTTGTGCTGGTCGGTCAATGAATAGCCAGGCATCGTCTCAATCACGGGAACCTGGGGACGAGGATAATCGAGGAGTGTGTGAATTCTTTGATAGTTCAAGGACGGATAATTGTTACACTATCAAGTGGTGCCGCCTTTGATCCACCATTGCGGAGGTCAGTGGTAGGGTCGATAATTTTTAACTGTGGATAGTTTAATGATGGATAGTTTAATGATGGATAGTTTAATGATTGGATAGTTTAATGATTGGATAGTTTAATGATTGGATAGTTTAATGATGGATAGTTTAATGATGGATAGTT